CACAAGCTGAGAAAGTGTCCGTCAGACTGTGTCCTCTGGAACCTTTGTCGCTTTAATATGACAGCAAGCTGACATTTCTGGTCTCTGAGATGGGGTGAGGACTCCTGGTCCCAGCACGTGTTCAGTGGTGACACACGGGTCACAATGCCAGAGACTCCCTCTTAAAGAAAGGGGCTGTTGAAGAGGAATAAGGACCACTTGGTACTTGCCTTAGGGTTTCTGTTGCTGAGACAGAAAACCACAACTAGAAGTGACCTTGGGAAGAAAGTTCATTTCATCTCACACCTCTCAGGTCACAGTCCATGGTGGAGGGATCATGGCAGGAACTCAAAGCAGAAACCCGGGGGTCAGGAAGCAGGGGCTGTGGAGGAGGGCCACTTACTGACTCGCCCGGCTCAGTATGTGTATGCACGTGTATGTGTATGTGTATAATGTATATGCGTATATAGTCTTATTTCATGTGCACTGGTGTGAGGGTGTTAGATCCCCTGGAACTGGAGTTGCAGACAGGTGTGAGCTGCCATGTGGGTGCTGGGAACTGAACCCGGGTCCTCTGGAAGAGCGACTAGTGCTCTTAACCACTGAGCCATCTCTCCAACCCGGCTCAGTAGGACCACCTGCTTAGGGGCAGCATCACCCCGAGAGGGCCGGGGCCTTCCACATCAACCATCAGTCAAGATGATGCTCCCACAGACTTACCCAGGCCAAGCTGGGGAGGCATTTTCTCAGCAGAGGCTCCCTCTTCCCAGGTGACTCCAGCCTGTGTCAGGTTGACAAAACCCTAGCAGAAAGGATGGAGGTGGGATTCTGGACTATGGTCAGTTTGCCAGGAAGAGGCCTTTGTGCAGTCAGCCAAGCGGCCCTCCCCTGAGACATGCTGCACTTGAATACTGGTCCCAAATAAACCCATGGTATAAATCCTTGGGACCTGGAACTAGGCTACCTGTTATGAAACAGGGACTGTTGAGTCGGTGTTCTGGGGATGAAGTGGTCACCCTGGGAAGGGTGTCCTTGTGAGATGGAGACAGGACATCAGAGAAGAAAGGGGGCCATGAGCCACAAGAAGCAGGCAGTGACAGAGGCTGAGAAGGCAAGGGGACAGTTTCTTCTAGAAGGGATGTCAGCCCGTGAGTTCCTTCATTAAAACCCAGTGAGACTGATTCCAAAATGATGACCTTTAGAACTGTGAGAGAACGAATGTACGTTTTTCAAATCACTGGATTTGTGTTCAGGTGACAGGAAAAAGGCACCAGCATTTAAGAGAGTTTAAGAAACTCTCTGTACCTCTTTTAAACAACAGAGTAAGTTTTAAATACATACGAGAGAGAGAGAGAGAGAGAGAGAGAGAGAGAGAGAGAGAGAGAGAGAGAGAGAGAGAGAACTCGATCTGTGGGTTCCCTGGCTACAGATTCACACTATCACAGACCAAAAGCACATAAAATAAAAATGTCATCCTTACTGAAAGTGGGTAGGCATTTTTCTTGTCATTCACCCTAACTCGTACAGTGCGGTAATTATGGACTTATAGCAGGTTAGGCATTAGAAGTTACCTAGAGGGGCTGGAGAGATGGCTCAGAGGTTAAGAACACTGACTGCTCTTCCAGAGGTCTTGAATTCAATTCCCAGCAACCACATGATGGCTCACACCATCTACAATTCAATCTGGTGTATATGTAATAAATAAATAAATCTTAAAAAAAGAAAAAAGCCAAGGATTTCTTTTTTAAAAAAGTTACCTAGAGATGAAGTTTTAGGGGCATGTGTGTAGGACATATGCAAAATTCACACCTGTATATATAAAGGACCTGTTTCCAGGCCGTGGTGACTAAAGTTAGAAGATGAACATGTGCCACATTTATGACTGTTTTTCCTATTTTTAGGGACTTCCAGGCCAGATGTTTTACAGGTAGGTCACAGACATGTTACTCTGCCCATGAGAGGCCCCTGTGTGAGCAGAGGTACCTTCTTGTGGTACCTTGAGATCTCCAGGGCAGTCATTTTGGTACTGGTATGTATCCTATCTCACCATTCAGGTGTCAGCAGCACCTGCCTTTGTAGAATGGGAAGAAGGGTTTGTAGGGAGAGCTCTCACGAACATTGACCACGCCCATTTGGGCGTGGCCACAGGTACGTGGGGGGTAGGAGAGATAAAGGGAAGGAGGAAGGGGCTGGCTCACGCTTGGGGCTGCTGACCTCAGTTCTTGGCTTCTCATGTAAGTGACGTCTCTCTCTCTAATAAAGTATCATACGGCTCTGACTTCTCTCTCTAATAAAGTATCATACGGCTCTGACTTCTCTCTCTCTAATAAAGTATCATACAGCTCTGACTTCTCTCTCTCTAATAAAGTATCATACGGCTCTGACTTCTCTCTCTCTAATAAAGTATCATACGGCTCTGACTTCTCTCTAATAAAGTATCATACGGCTCTGACTTCTCTCTCTCTAATAAAGTATCATACGGCTCTGACTTCTCTCTCTCTAATAAAGTATCATACGACTCTGACTTCTCTCTCTAATAAAGTATCATACGGCTCTGACTTCTCTCTCTCTAATAAAGTATCATACAGCTCTAACTTCTCTCTCTAATAAAGTATCATACGACTCTGACTTCTCTCTCTAATAAGCTATCATATGACTCCCCTGCCCCGTGTCCTTGGCGTGGCTCATTTCCCGTCGTCCGGGCTTGAGTACCATCCTACACTGTAGCATTTCTGGATCTGATTTCCTGGCCTTCCTTATGGTTCTGTCAAGATCAGTGGTTCTCCACCTTCCTAATGCTGTGACCCTTTTATACAGTTTCTCAGGTTATGGTGACCCCCAACCATAAAATTATTTTTGTTGCTACTTCACAACTGTAATTTTGCTGCTACTATGCATCTTAATGTAGATGTCTGATATGCAGGATGGTCTTAGCCAGCCCCTGCGAAAGGGTTGTTCAGCCCACAGGTGGAGAACCACTGGTTAAGACTGTCCATAAATCTGTCTGCTACCCAGTCTCAGACTGCAGATTCTTCTGCTCGGATGTGTCGCCTCCTGGCAGGGTAGTAGCCTGTTGGTTCTAATGCAGGAAGGTGAAGCCTGATCCTTTGGCAGCCAAGCAGAATTGTCCGGTGAAATGCAATGCCGATGAGTCCCCAGCTACAGCTGCAGAGCGTCACAGCCACCACAGAGCAGCTGGACCTTGTTGGATCTGAGTAGCCATGGAGGAGACAGGCTCAGATAGCGACTGAGCTTGGAGGTGAACATGGAGTTTGCAGGTTGGCTTTAGAAAGGACTGCCTGGGGGAGATGAAGGGTGGTGGGCAGTCTCCTTGGATGCCGGTGAGAAAGACGCTGGAGTTTGAGTTGGTTTCCCCAGGGGTGGGTTCCTGCTTTCTCAGGGGGAGGGGATGAGCTGCTTGGTCACCTGATTTTTCTCTTCTTCTCCCTCCCTCAGGAATCTGGGCCAAGCTGAGGGATGGATGGGCCAGCTGGGAGTCAGGCCTCCACACACACTTCCAGGAGCTGCTGATGAGAGATGTGCCTCCTTCCCCGGGTCAGCCTCCGGCCAAGCCATCCTTCCCTCTGCACTCCATCAGGGACTTGCTCCTGGGATTTCTGAGTCACTTGACAGTTTACAACATCACTTCAGAAACCAGAAGTGTCGTGGGGATGGCTGTAAAGGAGGTGCTTATCCCAGGCCTCCACATTGAAAGCAGCTCTTGAAACGGAGCCAAGAACGCTGACCAGAAAATTCAACAGCATATAGAGAGTTAGAGAGTGTAGGAGAAGTGGGGGGGGGCGGGCAGTCGCTAAGACCCGTGGCGACTGAAAAGTCAAATCTGCACCTCTTAGCAGTGTTTCCACACTCTCCGGGGGTGGGGGGTGCCATGAGTGATCTGGGGGGTGGGGGGTGCCATGAGTGAAGGTTCTTGCAACTCATGAGAAAGTGTCACCGTCTTGCCTATGGCTTCCTTTGGAGATTGCTAATGCCAGGGAGGCTTCTTCCTTCCCCAGTACTACAGATTTTTTAAAATAATTATCATCACCTATATTCTACCTTCGGATGGTGTGGTGGTTTGAATAAGGATGCCCCCCATAAGCTCATATATTTGAATTTTTAATCACCAGGGAGTGGCACTATTTGAGAAGGACAGGGGGGTGTAGACTTGTTGGGGTAGGTGTGACCTTGTTGGAGGGAGTGTGCCACAGGGGGTGGGCTCAGAAGTTTCAAAAGCCTACACCTAGCCCAGGGCCTCTCTCTCTCTGCTGCCGCCGCCGCTGCCTGTGAATCAGGGTGTAGCTCTTAGCTACCTCTCCAGCACCCCCCAAGACTGGAAGCAAGTCCAGTTAAATGCTTTCTTTCATAAAATCTGTCTCGATTGAATAGAACAGTGACCAGAAGAAGGGCGGTTTGTGGTGCCAGGGATAGAACTCATGCTCATATGCATCCTAGGCAAGCACCCCACCCGAAGCTGCACCACGACTTATGGCTTAAGGTAAAATAGCCCAGCCTAAAAGTCTTCAGACGACCAGTGAGATGGCTCAGTGGAAAAGGTACTTGTTGCCAAGTCTGATGACCTGAGTTCAGTCTTAAAACACACAAGGTGGTCCAGGCGGTGGTGGCACAGCCTTTAATCCCAGCACTCAGGAGGAAGAGGCAGGCAGATCTCATGAGTTTGAGACCAGCCTGGTCTACAGAGGTAGTTCCAGGACAGCTAGGACTGTTAGACAGAGAAACCCTGTCTCTGTCTCATTTCGGGAAGAGAGAGAGAGAGAGAGAAAGAGAGAGAAAGAGAAAGAGAGAGAGAGAGAGAGAGAGAGATGGTAGGAGGAGAATTGACTCCTACAAACTGTCCTGACTATCACATATGAACCATGGCATGACCACACACACATACACACACACACAGAGAGAGAGAGAGAGAGAGAGAGAGAGAGAGAGAGAGAGAGAGAGAGAGAGAGAGAGAGAGAGAGAGAGAGAGAATTAATAAAAACATCTCCAGGAAGCATAAGACATCATTCACAATTCACAATTTAATAACAATCAACATGGCATTTCATCAGATCTTTCCAATGTTCCTTCAGTGAAATGCACTCTCAAGAAATGAGTTCTAATGGTTATGTTCTCAGGGTGGGAAGATAAGACTGGTCACTGATGAGGGAATGGCAAGGGGAACAGTCAATATTCGCAGCAAGCCTGTTAAAAGGAGAGCAGGAAGACAGGCTGCTGGGGGGGGGGGATGCTTGGCCTTTGCCACACGAGGAAGCTTGGTTGCAGAAGGTTTGCTGTGGGCCTGTTATTTCTAGTTAAAAGTTCAAGCAGAGTTCTGATAGAACCAGGATTCCTACCCAGTGGGCTCTATTCACCTTGGCTGCTGATCCCTTGTAATAACTGAAATCATGGCTGATGTGGATACAGTTCCAACCAAACATTCACACATTCACTTTTGCTTAATGTGTGTTCCCAAGTATGTGTTCCTTTAAGAGAGTCCTTGACAAAGCTAGAACTTCCTGGGATACACAGTGAACACGGAGTGGGGGGAGGGGTCCTCGAGTGATGCCTTTTGTCCCCTCTGCCATTAGATCATCCATGGAGGGGATCCTTGTCCCTTCCTGTTCCTGGAGCAGGTGCATTGCTTTTGTAACATGTGCCTTCTTGGACAGCCTCTGTGAAGTACAAGAAAATCAAAACATTGCTTCCTCGATTTCCCCAGAGCTAGCCTCTCATCAGACAGCTAGAGCTAACATGTGCCTACTGTGCTGCTCCAGGCCCTCTGCCACAATGCGGAATTTTGTTGTTGAGTGAATGGACATAATCGCTAGGGATAAGAGGGTATTATTTTTCTGAAGTTAATTATTATTATGAATATTAACATTATTATTATTTGTGTGTGTTGTTGTATATGTGTGTGCATATTTACATGCTTCCTTGTGCCTATATGGAGACCTGAATTCAGTATAGCTGTCTTCCTCAACTACTGTCCATATTATTTTCTAAAATATTCTTCTGCTAAACCTGGAGCCCATCATTTTAGCCACACAGGTTGGTCAGCAAATTCCTGGGGATCTTCTGGGACCTATGGATCTCTGCACACACACACACACACACACACACACACACACACACACACACACACACACACACACACCGTGTCCCTCCCATTCCTATCTCAGAGGTAGAATCCAGTGCTAGGGTTACAGCTGTGTTCCACCATGCTCAGCCGCTACCTGGATGCTGGGCATCCAAACTCAGGCCCCGAGCCTGTGCACCAGACACTTTGCCATCTCACAAGCCTGTGTGTTTTAGTTTAACTAATGCCTGAAACGTGCACATTATGGGGGCATCAGGACAATACTTCTTGACACTATAATAACATGCAAACTTTCTTTCCTATGATGGCTAATATCGATTGCAAACTAGACAGGATCTAGAATCATCCAGGAGACAAACTTCTAAGCAAGTCTGTGAGAAACTTCCTGATTAGGTTAACTGAGGTGGAAAGACTTACCCTAAATGTGGGTGACACCATTCCATGGGCTGGGGGTCCTGGAAAAAATACAAAAGGGAGCTGAGCATGAGCGTTTGTCTCTGGCTCCTGAGTGTGGCCTCTGTGGCTTTCCCCGCTATGACTAGCCGTACCTAAAAACTCTGAGCCAAAATCACTCTTCCTTGGCTGCTTCGGTTGGGTGTTTAGTTGCAGTAAGAGGAAAGTAACTAAGACACACAGACCACTTGTTTTGTGGGATTTGAACTCCCAAAGCTAGCAACGGACAATCTGAAAAGATCACCAGTTCATTTTCTCCGAGGCTGGCAGCATCAACCTCATTCCAAGATGGCCCATCCCGAGTGACCTACGCATTGTGTTGTTTGTGTGTGCTGTGAGATCGTGATCCCAGCCCTTCCTGCATTCCAGGAAACAGGATGTAGTTGCTCTCCAATAATCTATAAAATACCAAAATTACCTACTGGGCTTCTGAAAACGACATCGAGCGAAGCACAATCGCAGCAGGCGGACACATCCTGCTTTGGAATGAACAACACATCCCCTTTAGTTCTGGGCTTCCTTTCCCTCCCCGAAGGAATTCGCTATTGTTTGTAAATATAGTATACCCCACTGATACGGCTTTGTTTAAAACGACCTCTCAAGCTCCGGTCCTTCTGAACATTCCTATGGCAGAGGAAGAATTCGCACACGATAAAGTGAATATACAGTTCAGTGATGTTCATCAAGTGGGATGCCTGTGCAAACACCATTGGGCTCAAGATGGAGACTGTCTCTGTCATCCTGAAGGGTCCTCCCTGCTCTTGACTGCCAACTCCTCCATCTACCCTCAGCTCCAGGCAACCACTGTCTTCATTCTCATTATAGTGTCATTTCTATAACTTCAATTTTAATGACAATATACTGCAATGATAAAATGGAGTTCAACATGCTTCCACTTGAAACACTGCAAAGGGTCCACAGGAAACACATTTTGTTTTATTGAGACAGGCTCTCCTGTAGCCAAGGCTGACCTTGAACTTGCTATGTAGTAGAGGCTGGCTGAACTCCTGTAGCCAACGTTCGTCTTGAACTTGCTATATAGTAGAGACTGGCTGGAACTTCATCTGGCTGCCTCTACCTGGTGTTACAGGAATGTGCCATCATGCCTGGCTAGGGAACAATTTTAATAGGAAAAATGAAGTAGCAATCTGTGTGTTACCCCATTACTCCTGTTCCTGAAGGACACCTGCCTGAGTCTTCCGGATACCCCATGGCCTGTTAGACTGAAGGAACCTGTGATGGGTGCTGGGGGTTGTACTAGGCACAGCCAATCCCACTTTGAGGATTCTGGTTTCATCACACCTCTTCTGTAGACCAGAAAGGACTCCAGCAAACTAAAAGTTGGAGATGAATTCACTGGTCTATGGTAGACTTGGGCTCCACCTAACATGTTTCCAAAAGGAAACACAAGCTGGGGACATTCACGTAAGTATGCTGCCTGCCTTTCTTCCCTGGAGATTTTCACATTTCAACTAAATCTCTAGGTTATGGAAAAATAAAAGATCCTCCCTGGCAACTCCACATTTGAATGGAGGAAGCCTCCTAATGAGCACATGTAAATCATGGGTTGAAATGTTTGAATAACCAGATGGCATGAACACGGAGGCCAGCATTTCCTGATAAGCTCAGGTGATCCGCTGCTAGCAGAGGAATTTGGACATGACAAGAGCACTTGAGTTCAACTTGGAATGTTCTAGTTGGGGAGTCCCTAAGAGAAGGGAGGATGGGATAGGAGGAATGTCCTACGCTGTGCCTATGCATAGAGCTTAATATTTTAATCTTTTCAACGGTTTAGGTTGCCATTGTTCCCTATGAATACGTTAGTGTGATCTCTCCCAGTATCATCTCCCAAAGCAGAGGGGCGTGATGACCCTGTGAGTCTTTCTGTTAGAAATGCCACGGGTGTGCAAGAAAGACAGGAATGTTAAGGATGGACCAGTGGCAAACACAGAACAGATGGCCATCAAAGAGCCAGGGTTTTCATTTCTGGAGTGGTAATTCCAAAAGGGTTGGTCCGGAGCTTATGCAACGTCCCTCTGGGGTGTGCCAGCCTTCTGAGGAGCTCGGTGCCCCGCAGCAGGGGAGGTGAAATGGTTTTTGTTATTCGCTCTGTAACTGAAGCTGGCCACACCCGCTGGCATCTGACTGAGTAGGAAAAAGGCCTCAGGGTGTCCTGTGCTGGGGACACCAGGTGACTGTACAGAGTCCATGCCAGCTAGGAGATCCCAGCAGGTGCAGGGCTGAAGAAATGCGCAAGCGTGAAGGGTTTTCCTGCCTGGGCGGAGCTTCCAGGTGAGTCACCTCTCCCTTGGCAGGGAGGGGAGCTACGTGTTCTCCTCCACTTCTGTTTTGCCAGCTCTTTCTGGCTTCCTCTAGGGTAGCTAACTAACTGTAACGGAACCCCTAACTTTGCTTTTATTCTTCTTACAGATTCCAGATCTAAAAATGAAGGTCAAACGGCAAACAGATGGTGCTCCCCACCCAACAAGCTACTACTATTTACTAACCCAAGCTACTAATCGGGGATTTTTAAAACCAAAACATAAGGGTGTAATCCAGGATCAGTGCAGCTACAGAGCTTCTTTATGTTCAGGCGTTTTGCTGGTGAGAAATGATATGCCTCAACCATGACCATGTCGAACAGATCTTCAGACATGTTTAATAATTATTCTCAAATTGTATCCGTCTCTCATCTGCATGTCACCTCAGTTTGGGTGGGGATGGAACAAGACACTAATAATAACAACTGCTCATGTTTATTTTGCTCTCACAGACATCGTGTCTTCTGTCTTCTTGCAGGTTACTGAGCTGGCAGGGTCTTGCGGTGAGGGGCATCTGTTCTGGGGGACTAGAATGAATCTGGTCAGTTTGGACATACGTATCATCATCAAAGTGGCTGGGTGGGTGTGCCTGGCCTGACCTGTAGATGTCTTGCCAACCCTGTTGTGAATATCTCCTGTTGGTGAATATTCTCCTTAGGGAAACCATATTCACCTTCTTGGCATCGAGGGATGCAGCTTTGTTGGCTAGGGATATTATTTAGGTCACTATTAAGGTGAAGGTTTCCTTTAGACTCTCACAGTCACAAGACACAGGCACCTCTTCATTGACTCGAGTAAATGTGACATTGTATCAGATGCTCTGGTGTCTCAGGGAATCCAGGGGCAAAGGGACACTGAAGTGAGTGAGTCACCTGGGCTTGTGACAGACACACATGTCAAAGGCATCTCTGGACCTGTGAGGAGGGACTCCTGTGACCCTGCAGTGTGGACAAGGGTCTGCCCTGTTCAAACAGCACAGCCCCAACTTGAAAGGTACTTTGAAACCAGAAGAACATCCTTTTATGTATAAGAATTAAATGTGCAACCAAGAAAACTTCGTATGTGGCCAACACCCTTTTTATTCAATGTGCCAAAGTAATGCCAGTCTAACTAAAAGACAAGCACTTAAAAATGTTTTTTAAAGTATTCCCTAAATATTGAACCGAACTATAATATTATTAATTAAGGGTTTGGCAAGCAGGCAAGAAAAGTTTCTAAGACCAGAAACTACAGGGAAAATATCAAGGCAACTCTGAATGAGTTTTGCCTTAAAATAAAAAAAGGATGTTTGTTTCTGCGTGTGAGGGTGCACACATGTGTGCAGGTACCTGGATAGGCCAGAAAAGGGTGTGGACCACTTGGAGCTGGAGTTAGAGATGGTTGTGAGAAGCCCAGTGCGGTGCTGAGAACTGAACTCTGGTCCTCTGGAGATCGGCAAGGGCTGGTCCATGCGAGCCAGCCCTCCAGGCCCTGCGTCTGTGTCTTCAGACACGTCACTCATGCTATCCAAAGCATCTTCCAAACTTACTAAGTTGGCACTACTCCCCTTCCTCTCTTCCCTTCCTCCTTCTCCCTTCCTTCTCTCTCTCCCTCCTCCCCACATGTCCCTTTCTTCCCTGTACTGGGCCTTTTCTTTTAGGCCACCAGCCAGCTCCCAAGTCAAGATGCAGAGACTTGTTATCAGTTATGAATGCTCCACCTTACGCTTGTCCCGCTGGCTCCCATAACTTACCCTAATTTTCTTCATCTACGGTTTACCTCGGGACCTTTCAACCTTTCTTTCTTTCTGTACATCTTACTTTCACAGCTTCTTGTGTCTGGCTGGCTGGTGGCTGCCTGGCGTCTGGTCCCAGGCCTGTCCCTTCTTTCTTCCTCGTTCTCTCCTCCTCCTCTCTGGAGCCTAGATTTCTCCTCCTGCTTATTCTCTCTGCCTGACAGCCCTCCTACCCCTCGTTCAGCTTTTTAGTAAACTAAGCAGGTGTCTCAGGAAGGCAAGGTGAAACAAATGCAGCCGTCTATACACCAGTAAACAAATGCAGCCATCTATACACCAGTAAACAAATGCAGCCATCTATACACCAGTAAACAAATGCAGCCCGTCTATACACCAGTAAACAAATGCAGCCCGTCTATACACCAGTAAACAAATGCAGCCCGTCTATACACCAGTAAACAAATGCAGCCCGTCTATACACCAGTAAACAAATGCAGCCTAAGCAAATGTAACACATCTTTACATAGTTAGAATAATATTCCACAACACTCCCTCCTCTCCCCACTCTCCCTTCTCCTTCCTCTCCCACCTTGTACAGGGCATTTGATTTAATCCAGAGCCTTGTAGATGCTGGGCAAGCACTCCCCTACTGGTCCATCCCTATGTGCTTTTCTTTAAAAGCGTGGAGCTGTCGGGTGACTTGCCAGATCCTGCAGGAAATGGTAGAGCCCTCACACTCCCCATGACCATGGATTCCCCAAGCCTTGCTCTTGCTCTCATCTCTGTCTTACAAACTTAGGTTAAAAGGGGGAAAAGTGTGCTGGGCGGTGGTGGTTCACACCTTTAAGCCCAGCATTCAGAAGGCAGAGGCAGGCAAATCACTGAGTTGGAGGCCATCCTGGTCCAGGATGGCCAGGGCTACACAGAGAAACCCTGTCCCGAAAAACCAAAAGAAACAAAACAAAACAAAAAGCACAACACAAAAACTGGAGGGGGGCAGTTCATCTACTCATTCCTGTGTGCAGATGACCCAGGCTTGATCTTCAAGACTGTAATGATAATAAAAATAAAGAAATGATGATGATAGTAATAATAATAAATGTTGTAGAGCTAGGTGAGACTGGCACCCTTATGCACCGAAGGTGACATTATAAAATGGCATGAATACTTTGGGAAATAATTTGGTATATAGCAAAAACCCTTACCACTTTTGACAGACTTTTTTGACTTTGAAATTGCGAGTATCAGGAAAAGATACTGTATGACCTTAATATTTACTCAGGGTGCACTAATATTGAGACTTAAAGAAGTACTAGTCGGGCCTGGTGGTGCACACCTTTAATCCCAGTAGTTGGAGGCAGAGGTAGGTGGATCTCTGAGTTCAGAGTCCAGCCTGGTCTACAAGTGAGTTCGAGTGCAGTAGAGCTATATAATGGGATCCTGTCTCAAAACAAACAAGTAATGAAATAAAAATTTAAAGACAAGAAAAGGAACAGAGTGACCAGGGACATTGGTCACATAAATTTAGATAGATCACTTCCAGTCAAAAGTCATATGGTTATCGCCTATGACGATTTTTACCTCAAGTGACTGTCTAGGTTCTCTCAAGTAACTGTTTTATCTATCCCCAGGTCCCAGCAGAGTCCTAATGGGAGCTGAGGGGCTGTCTCCAGTCTCTTGTGGGATTCAGGCCTGGCTGAGGAAACAGGTCAAGCTTTGTCCTAGAGGAAGGGGCCCTTGGCACTGACAAGTCTTGAGATGTTTTGGTGGGGTGAGGAGGAGGGAAGGTCCTGTTTTTACCTTAAGCTGTGGGATTTCTGACTGTGACCTCTGTGGCCATACCGGCCTCTCTGACAGTGACAGTGAGCCTGTGCTGCCCCAGTCAGGAGCAAGGCAGTGGACAGGGAGTGGCTCCCGCTGCTGACCTTGTACCCCTCGGCATTTCTCTCCATCTGTTTGCCGTGGGTTTTCTCTCAAAGACACCTGAAATCGCAGGCCATAGGGCTCAAGGTCATCCTCTCCAGGCCCCATCAGCTGCTTCAGGAGCTATTCAAGTGAGGGTTGTTCAGCGAAGGGCACAGTCAGGCGACTGCCTGTTACCAAGCAATGGCTGTGACTATGCTAAAGCCGGCTTGGAATGCACGCAGTTAGCTGGAGATCAGCCGTCTTCACAGAGGGGTGTTGTGTGCAGTCAAATGTCTGCCTAGATTTTCCATTTGTGTAAGCAGGAGTGAGCTCAGCCACCTCCCCAACTGCCTTTGTTAGCAAGCCTCAGGACCCCTTGGGGCTGCTCTAGCCAGGCCCTTCAGAACAGACCTGAGAGTGTGGCCAAGGGGACAGAGGCAACTCCAGAGAACACCTCACTGTGCCACGCCACGGAAAATCAGAAACCCCAGACTCATTTCACACTCTTTCTGCAGCTCCCCCAGAGAGGCTACGGTGTCCAAGCACAACAGCAGTCGAGCACCTCCCTGGATCTGAACCAGGGTGAAGCTGCATTCCTGGGGCGCCAGCAACCTTGCCACGCCTGCTTCTCTGCACGTAAGGTCACAGTAAGAAGTCCTCCACCGTCCGCTCTGTCCCGGAGCCAGGGCAGAGCTAGCAAGACCGCCATCCTGTTGTCATCCCTACCTCTGTCAGTTTGCTAACAGCCCTCACACCCCAGGTGGTCACATATCTGCACCCATCTTCCAGGCATGATGTAGAGACCGGATACTTGATCCAAAATTGTGGGCAAGTCTCTGATCAGTAAGAATGCCAACCCCCAAGCCCGACCCCAACCCAATCAAAGAATTTTAAATATCGGGTGTGTTACTTTTCCTCGTCTTACCCAAACGCCCACCACAGGGCAACCTGTGGAGGTCTTGTGGAAATTCACCCATCACTGTCGTGCCCACCACTCTGCTAAGGGGACCTGCCTCCATGATCCCTTCTATGGGGACTGGACAAGGAGGAGGAGGAGGAGGAGGAGGAGGAGGAGGAGGAGGAGGAGGAGGAGGAGGAGGAGAAGGAGGAGGAGAAAGTATGGAGGTCTGGTCAGAGCAAGCAGGTGGGAGAGAACAAAGGAGATGGGCAGGGCCAGCTTCTCTATCAATCAACGGAGGGAGAGAGGGGGAGGGAGGAAGAGAGAGAGAGAGAGAGAGAGAGAGAGAGAGAGAGAGAGAGAGAAAGAGGCAGAGAGACAGAGACAGAGAGACAGAGAGACAGAGACAGAGAGACAGAGACAGAGAGACAGAGACAGAGAGAATGAGAATTTGCTTTCTTTGAGGCTGCTCTTTGGATCTCTTCCTGTGTTCGGGTTCCCACAAATCCCCAGAGTGGCTCCTGTTTATGGAACCAACCAGTCTTGAGGGAGACCGTTGCCAGCAACTCCGAATGCCCGGCTCAGTCTTTGCCTGGCGCTGCCAGGGGCTCCCTCGCCTTATCTGAAGAGCTGGTGTGGATTTCCCTGGTTTGTTCAGGAAGGATATCAGCCAGCTGTTAGCTCCACATGAGAGCTCCCGGGCGGACCTGACAGACCCTCAGACAGCAAGTGCTGTGCCGCCTGCTCCCCTCGCTAGAGCCCCCCCATTCTCTACACCGGGGAGCAGAACATAGTTATGCCCAGAGGTGCTCCCTCATGGGGAGGACCATCTTGAAGAGCTGGGCTCTGGGAGGGCTGTGCGTCACCTAAGCACCAGGAAGGTTGACAAAAGGACAAAGGTGCTTCCCTAGGAAACAGAAGGAAGCAGCTGTTTTCCAGGCAAATCAGTGGTCAGCCACCGGGAGGAGAAGCCCTTTTGGAAGTGTTTTGAAGTAACTGAGTCCTCACAGTTTACAAGGCCCTCTTTCCCAAGGCTCTGGACAAACAGACATCCCAGTCGGAGAACCTTTCGCCTAGACAGGTGGCTCCCACAGGTCCCTGGGCTCCTGGGGAGCACGGCTCAGGAACAGCCCATGGGTGGGCCTGACTTATTTTCAGGCCCCAGGAGGAGGAAGTGGAGCTTCCTGTTATTCACTCTTGGTCTCTGTCAGGTCCCGGATCGCCCACTCCAAGGGGAACCACCATCAGGCTGAGGCCTCTGCTGAAAGCCAAAGGGAGACCCCAGAGAAGATGCCTTGCGACAGCCCTGGAGTCTGACTCTTCCGGCTCATGGCAAGCTAGGGGGAGGTGAGGAAAGGGACACACTGCCATTTACGTAGCCACTGCCAGGAGCCGAGCCCAGGGCACGTCCATTCCCCCTCTGTGAGATAAAAAGCACCAGCATGTTTCATTTAGTTGTTGTTTGCTCATTGTGATGCTGGAGATGGAACTGGGGCCTCACTCACGCTAGGCAGGCATTCACCACCGGGCCACACCTCAGCACTTTACATTTTTAATATTGTGTGTGTGAGTGTGTGTGAGTGTGTGAGTGTGTGAGTGTGTGTGTGTCACTCACGCTAGGCAGGCATTCACCACCGGGCCACACCTCAGCACTTTACATTTTTAAGATTGTGTGTGTGAGTGTGTGAGTGTGTGAGTGTGTGTGTGTCACTCACGCTAGGCAGGCATTCACCACCGGGCCACACCTCAGCACTTTACATTTTTAAGATTGTGTGTGTGAGTGTGTGTGTGTGTGTGTGTGTGTGTCACTCACGCTAGGCAGGCATTCACCACTGAGCCACACCTCAGCACTTTACATTTTTAAGATTGTGTGTGTGAGTGTGTGTGTGTGTGCGCGCGTGTGCTCGCGCGCCATGGTGTGTCTCTGGAAGACAGAGGACAACTTGCAAGAGTTGGTTCCCTCCTTCTACCAAGTGGGTTCAGGTTGTCAGGCTTGGGAACAGCCTTACGCATGCATGCACGGACTCACTGCCCACCCCCACATTTAAAAAAGCCTTTTAATAGAAAATACACTGTTCAGAATTTTCCTTCTTGGTTAACAGAACAAGATCCTATTGACAGATTCTTCTCTTTACACACACACACACACAGCAAAAATGGCTACACAGAGGAAAAGTGTCCCTCAAGGGAAGAATTTAAATAAGTTTGCAGTATAAAATCTGGCGTCAAACACAGTGACAACATACAGTTCATCCTCCCAATTAAACACATATGTGTGGTGCGGGGACTAGACAGGGTCTCTCATGGGGCTAGAAGTGACCAAGTAGGCTAGGCTGGCTGGCCAGCAAGCCCCAGGGATCCACCTGCCTCCTCCTCCCAAGCTGAGTTTTCACCTTGAGTTTGTACATGGATTCTGGAGATCTAGATTCAGTGCCAGCTGTCCCCAGCCCTAAACAGAGTTTTTAAAATTTGAATAGTTTATTGTACTCCCAACCCCCAAAGGGAATGGCACACAAGACAAACTGAACGGTCCTGGTGAACTCCCCAGGACAGTGTGAGGCCTCCTTGTTTATCACTTTGGGAATACCATTGCCAGGCATACACTGGCACTCACTAAATATTTGCCAAATGAATCAAACCCAGAGCTGCCTATGGCACCTATTGACCTGACTTCATCATCTCTTCTATTTGGTTGGCTTCTTAGACCCTCTTGGCCTCTGAATTTCTGGGGACCTAGGAAGCACAAGCACTACTTGTTTCTAGAACTTTGAAGAATTGCTTTCCCCATGCCCTTCCCCACTCTCCTGAGTCGCCGCATTTTTGGTTTTATAAACATCCCTTCATCCAAGTAGATTCCCAGCTCCAGAGCTTGGGCTCCTTCCAGATGTGGACTCACCATAGGGTGCAGCCAGTACTATCTCTTAAGCATCTCTCTCTCTCTTTGTTCCTCCCCTAAATGATTTCCCTCACTGGACATCTTCCGGAAGACAAAGTGCTTTCATTTGACAGGTCAGTTTTTCTGGACACTATTGGGCCACCACTCCAAGCCAGGAGTGGCCTCTGTTGGTCCTGCCTGCTCTCAGGCCACGCCCTATGCCACCTGAAGGTAGGCTACTGCAAACCCAAACATCCCTCACCCCTTGGGGCCCTAATGAATTATATGATGAGCATCAGGGCCCCTTCTCTCCATCCCCTGTGAACTGTCCACCAACCAAAGGTCCAAAAAGTGTCGCTACAGTGTAAACAGCAGGCCTAGGTATGGCCCCTAGGACTGAGAACTAAGGAAACTGAGGCAGAGCAGACACAATCCCAGATTGCTACAGGTCAGAATGGACAGCATGTGCAGGGCTTCCACTTTGACTCTCCACAGGGATCCAGCATCTGGAAAGTGATCACTCTTGGGAGCCCAAACTGGAACACATAGTTGAATGATCTTATACAGACAAAGGAATCCAAATCGAAACTGCCCTGGGAAAACCAATTTTCCTGAAGAGCCATGTCCTTCCCACCAAGGTGACCCGATGGTTCCTTCTTAGGACTTTCACGTCACCTGCCGATGACATCGTTTCTGTGCACTGTGTTGGATGCTACTTACCTTCCCATGCATAGAGCATCCCAGCCAGGAGCGGGATCTTTGCTACGGATGATAGCTGCTGGGCTGTGACCTGTAGTAACCACGGCACCTTTGATTTTTATTTTGTTATTTTTTTGAGACATGATCTCACTACGAAGCTCTGACTGCTCTGGAACTCTCTCTGTAGACCAGGCTGACCTCAGACTCACAGAGATCTGTCTGCTTCTACCTCCCAAGTGTTGGGATTGAAGGTATACACCAATGAGCACAGCTGTCATGGCATCTTTTAAAAGGCGATATTATTTTAAGGTACAAACCTGGGGTGGTTTGAATGAGGATGCCTGACCCCTAGGCTCATATATTTAAATAGTTTTTCACTGGTTGGTTGAACTGTTTGGGAAGGATTGAGAGGTGTGGCCTTTTCCAGGAGGTGTGTCACAGGCAGGGCCTTGTGGTTTCAAACGATTTCTATAATTCTCAGTTCTCTCTCTGCCTGGGAGCTGTGGATCAAGATGTCAGCTCTCAACTGGTCCTTCAATCTGCCATCATGGATTCTAGCCCTCTGATACCATAAGCACATTACACATTTTCTTTTATAAGCTGCCGTGGTTGTGGTGTTTTATCACAGCAATAGAAAAGTAACTAAGACAAAACCCATCCTTAAAAACAAAAACCAAAAAAAGTCACCTTGTGTAAATGAGTCAATGTGACACACATATTCAGCGCACTGGATAGTCAATAGAATTAAATAGAGTCCAACTTTTGCAATCCCCCCTTCTGTTTAAAACAATATAAAATTATTCTATTATACTATTTTAAATGTGTAAACGGTATTGCCCCATGTAGAGTATGGTTTTAAAAGTAAAAATAAGCATATAAAATTAAAGGGTGATGTCAGGAGTGTTGGCACGAACTGTAACCCCAGCACTGAATCACTGAAGCAGAAGAATCGAATTTGAGTCCAGCCTGGACTATACAACAAGACTGTTTCAAAACATTTAAAAGCCATGTGATTGACAATTATGATTTCATATATTGAATCCATTGATACTATAATGGGTATTTCAGGAGAATCTTTACTACTTAATTTAAAACGATTTTTAAGTTGTGTCCTTTATAAACCGGGTGGAGTGGTGGCCATACAGCCAGTAGATTCACATATGAATAGGACCAAAGGCATGCACGCGTGAGCACCACACACACACACACACACACACACACACACACACACACACACACACACAATGAAACTTACAGAGACATCAAGTTCACGTGTTGTATCAAAAATGAAAACAGAATAAAACATGTATCAGATAATTCACTTCTGTTTAGATAGTAGATACAAGGCTAGGCACTGAAAAATCCACTTTCTGGCTTGGAGATGATTTTTCTTTTTTATAGAGAATGAAGGGTAGGTTCGGGGAACTCTTTGAATAACATCATTGTCTTCCTTCCTTCATCCTTTCTTTCCTTCCTTCCTTTCATTTGTTTGTTTTGTTTTTTCAAGTCAGGGTTTCCCTGTGTAGCCCTAGCTGTCCTGGATCTCACTCTGTAGACCAGGTTGACCTCGAACTCACAGAGATCTGCCTGCCTCTGTCTCCAGTTCTGGGATAAAAGGCACACACTGTCGTGCCTGGCTCATTAACACCATTTTCAACTGGTCTTCAGAAAGTCTCGCTGCATTAGTCCTGACAGCAAGTAACAGAGAAATGTGGAGAAGCAGTGTCTCAAGCACACCATGCGGCTGCTTCCTCCTCTGCGCAGGGAGTTTGGAAGCGATCTGCTCAAGGCTGGTGCAGCTGCCCGCTGGCCAGAAGCCACAACTATCTTGTTACACTGTGGTTTCCATTTCTGAGGTTCAAAACAGCTACTGATGCTCCATCCATCGTGTCTGTGGTCTAGGAAGCAGAAAGGACAAACACAGAGAGAGAGCCTGTCTCTTGGTGAGGCCTCCTAGATGGAACAGTCATTTCTATCCACCCATGTGTGTCGGAAGGGCCTGGGAACTCTGATCTCCATTTGACACCGATGTCCCCAGCTTCCCTTTCTCAAGAGTAAAGTTCTGAAATGAATAAAGTGTACAAGACTGCAAGGCAACCAAATTGTATTGAAATATTGCCAGTCTGGTTGTGCTGGCAAAGCAAGGCCTTGAGGTTTGTATACCCAAAGCTAAGAATTCCTTGGATTGTCTAGAAGCTTGGCATAGCAAAACCTCTCAGGAGCTAGGGAGAGGGTTCATCAGAAAATCACATGCCATACCAGCAGGGAGACCTGAGTTTGGGTTCCCAGGACCCACATAAAAAATTGGGCAGGGGAATTCATGGAGCACTTTGGTCATCTCTAACTAAAACAATGACCTCCAGATTCAGCAAGAGACCCTGCCTTAGAATATAAGGTGGAAAGAGGCTGAGGAAGACATCCAATGTTGACCTTTGACCTGTGTGCACAAGCATACAAACACAAACAGGAACACACACACACACACACACACACACACACACACACACACGAGAATGGTTTTATTCACTCAGTAAACTGAAAGCCTGTTTGAGCCTGTGGTATAGGTTATGGCAGATACAGGAAGATACAATTCTGCCTCTTTTTTTGAACAAGTCTCTAGTTTGTCTGATAAAACAGGGCCTTAACGCCCACCACTTAAAATAGAGGCTATTCAGCTCAAGGAGTGAGCAGCTGCCATGGCCTATGATGTTCCCCAAAGCACATGTGTTGAAGGCTAGACTTCCACCATGACACTCCTGGAAGGTGGCAGGATCTGTTGGAGGTCAGGTCCCCGAAGGAGGAAGCTGGGCTGTTGGAAAAGGAGCCTCTGTGGAGTTGTTAGTGTGCCTCCCCATTAGTATTCTCCTTGGATGTGAATGC